ATGTGGGTATTTTTGAACCAAGAAATTGAATCCTTATTCCCTTTTTATGGAGCTGGTCAGATGAGCTAATAAAGTCCGAGATGCTCCCAGCCCAGACTGCAGTTGCTAAGAGAGCATGACTTCACTCTCCTAGGAGGGGCCACAGCCACTGAAAAGTGTCACTGGTGCCACTTGAATAAAATCAGTTTTCATCACATCCAGTCTTCAGGTAGTATCGCGTCCCCAATACAAGACACCCTATGGATGATTATATGCGAAGTGCCATTTCCCAGGGTCTACAAGCTAAAATGTGCTTACTCACTGACTCCTTTCAACAGGACCATCTCCTATCAGTATCCTCATTTTCCATCTGAGAACACTGAGAAAGGAAAGGTGAAATAACCTGTCCAGTCACTCAGCCAGTGAGTGGGATTTGAAAGCAGAAATTGGAACCCAAGACAGCCTGGCTCCAGATGACAGGCTCAGAACCACCATGTTTACACTCCTCCTAATTATAAAAAAAAAAAAAAAAAAAAAAAGGTAAAATACTTGACAAGAAATACAAGTCTGTGTATTTATTTTGAAAAAATACCTAGGGGAATCATGCAACAAGCATAAACCTATCCTAAATATCCTTATGACCCCCACCCCCTGCCTCTCAAATACCCTTCTTACCTAATGGCTGCTCCTGCAAACTCTCCAACTTAAACACACTTTGTGCCACAATCAGGTGTTTCCTCCCCTTAACATTTTCCTCCCACCTACCCCATACCTCTTCCATATCTATTCTGTTCTTTCACTTCCAGGACGTTCATTTTTTTAAATTTAAAAATATGAAAAATAGGGGTCCTGGCTGGCTTAGTCAATAGAGCAAGTGATTTGGCCTCTGTGTTGTGAATTCAACTCCTACCTTGGGCATGGAGCCTATTTAAAATAAACAAACAAATAAACGAAAAATACATAAAGAAGATAAGCTGTCACCCCTATTCCCACCACCTGGAATTAACTACGTCTACCATCTTTACTTATTTTTCTTCAAATCTATTTTTTAAGTTATTCTAATTTTTTGCAAAAGTTATACATGTTTATTGTACAAACGGCAAAATTCAAATGATGCAGAGAATGCATATATGTAAAATTCTGAAACATCTTAAAATCAGAAATAACTTTGTATACATTAGGTAATTATTAATGGAGTTACATTTGGTATATTTATAGTGAAAATGATATATTTATAAATATGCTTTTATAAAATTGAGCTCTTATAGGTCTATTTTTTTTGAAAGTATTCAATTTAATAGGGCATGAACTTAACTGAAGAAAAGAGATACAAAACAAGTATGAAGGAATTGTTGAATGTTCAATCAAATTGTTCACCACATGAGATACTTTTCTAAAAGAACTCTCCAAGGCTAAAGACAAGAATAATAATGAATTAAAATTAAGACAGTAAAATTTGAATGATTTCTCATTTTTAAAATCAAATTTCTTAAGATGCATTTTTGTAAATAATACAATGCATTCATTTCAAGTTTGATGACTTTCGACAAGTGGGTGCACCCTGTAACCATTACCCCGTTCTAGAAAAAAGAATGTTTCCATTGCTCCAAAATGTCTTGTGTCCCTTTGCAGCCTATCCTCACACCGTTCCTTATGCTAGGCAATCAACGATCTAGTTGTGTCATTATGAATTAGTTTTGCCTGTTCTAGAAATTCACATAAATGGAACCATTTATGTATGGTACTCTTAGTATGTACTCAGCATGATATTTTTGAGATTCTTATTATTGCCTTATTATCAGGAATCTGTTCCATTGCACTGAAGAGTCGTATTCCTTTGTATGATTATATCACAATTATATCCATTCACTTCTTGATGGACATTTAATTATGTTTCCAGGGGCACTTGGGTGGCTCAGTGGGTTAAGCATCTGGCTCTTGATTTCGGCTCAGATCATGATACCAGGGTTGTGAGATAGAGCCCTGTGTTGGGCTCTGAGCTGGGTGTGGAGCCTGCTTAAGATTCTCTCTCTCCCTCTGCCCATCCCACTCCATTTCTCCCTCTCTTTAAAAATAAAATGGTTATGTTTCCAGTTTGGGGGCTGTTATAAACATGTTCCTTTTTTAGGCACATGTTTTATAAATTCCATTTAAAATTTAATTTTTAAATACTAACTTATTTTGTGAATGGATGTTACACTCACAAATACAAAATTCACTCAAATGTTACAAAACTCTTAAGCAGAAGTCTACACATTTTTCTTTATATTTCATAATTAAGAGGAAATAAGCTTATTTTGGATAAGCTTATTAGGATATATTTAATATAAACTACACACTAAGCTAGGTGCGTTATCAGATATCTCACTTAATCTATGCAACAATTCTTCTTTGAGGTACTTAATATTTTCATATGACATTTGCAAAATTGGCCTAGCAACAGAAGGAACTGGCCCAAGGTCAAACAAAAGGCAAATAAATGGTGGAGCCAGGACTGAAAGGGAGGCCTCCCAGAGCCTGTGCTCCTAACCACAAACTGAACCTAATATGTCTGTAATAACAACCTTGGTGTTTGATGAGGCTTGGAAATCAATATCCAAGTGCTGTATCAGTCTTCTGTTTGTTCAGAAACATTCTGATCAGGAAGCATAACGGTGCTGACAACTGAGGCTGGGAAATCCATTTAACACTCTAGAAACCCAAGTTTTCTCATCAGTAAGGCACACACTGAAAGTTGACTTCAGTCTTGGTTCAGACTTTTTAAAAAAGATTTATTTATATAATTGAGAGACAGAGAAGGGGGTGGAGGGAGTGGTCAGAGGAGAGACCATCCTAAAGCTGACTCCCCACCGAGCACTGGGCTCCATCCCAGAACTCTGAGATCATGACTTGAATCGAAATCATGAGTCTGACGCTCAACAGACTGGGCCACCCAGGCACCCCTTGGTTTGGACACTTTATATTTGTTTATCCTGCTGCTGGGGAGAAGTTCCCGGCTCTTCTTCATCAAACTAGATCAGTCTGTAGGACGTAAGACTTTCTCTTTCAGTGTTCTGGATACTCAATAGGCATTCCCCGCTTTTTAGTTGGTTTTCTTTGGACCTGCCCTTTTGTACCATCTCTTCCCCACCTCCACTCCCAACACCTAGTGTCATAGGTGGTCTCAGTAACTTCTGGGCTGAACAGATCTTAATATTGTTCCTAAGGTGGCCAATAGGGAGGTGTGACAATCATTTGGGACATGGCCATGACTTTGTTTGGCCAAGTAATTTCTGTTTGCCAGGACAAGGTTTGCGGATTGGAAGTGAACAAGGTAAGACAACACCCTGGGAAAGAGACTAGTAAACACAACTGCCCGTAGCTGCCAACACTGGACCTGTTTTTTTTTTTTTTTTTTTCCTGGTTGGTTTTCTTATGAACCAGTTTTCATTGAACCAGTTCAATTTAAGGGCATTTTCAGATAGGGAAAATCTAAAATTACCTCTGACAATTGAAAAAAAAAAAAAAAACAACCTGTTATTTACAATTCCTACTGCCATTTAAGAAGGAATATTAAGGAAGCTTCCTAATTTGCCAAGCTACTGAAGTATGTCAGGTACAAACTGGAGGTTTAGAAAGAGCTACTATTTTTCTATATATGAAAGTATTAAGAGAGAGCCTGAGAGAAGAGGTGGGAGGAAGAGGAAACCGAAGCCAGAAATACGAAGAAGCTACTTTGGGGTAGGAAGGATGGGTGGGTGCTGTCTTGGGAACTGGCTAGCCATGGCTGTAAGGTGTAAAAGCAAGACATTAAGCAAGGCAGCTAATACTTAAAAAATGAAGGCTAAGGCAATATTAGATATTTAAATATTAGATATTTAAAGACAACCTAGTTGCACCTCTCACAAGATAAGCAGATAAGATACTGGTCACGGTTCACTCCCAACACCCTCTATTTTATGTTCCTGGAAGCATCACAGGGCATTCAACCAAGGTTCAGGTCTGACTTGTGTGGACTCTGTGTCCAAGATCCGGATGTCAGGGGCTGCTTCCTTGCATAGAATGAGAGTGTGTGACATTTCAAGTAAATCAAGACACATGGGACATCTGGGTGACTCAGCGGTTTAGCGCCTGCCTTTGGCCCAGGGCATGACCCTGGGGTCCTGGGATCAAGGTCCACATCAGACTCCCTGCAAGGAGCCTGCTTCTCTCTGCCTATGTCTCTGCCTCTTTCTCTCTGTCTCTCATAAATAAACAAAACAAAACAAAACAAAACAAAGCCCAAGACACAAATTGACCCGTTGCAGGCAGCTTCTACCTTGCACTTTGAAGTGAGAGCGCCTCCTATCCTAAGAACCCAGCAAATGTTCCTTGAACTCTTGTGAAGAAAAGCAGCTGGGTAGAGAAGTACAGCTAATTCTGAGATATGGGAACAATGCTAGATTTAACCCCACCTTCTCCACGTGGGGTTAAAGTGAACAACCTGAAACATAAACCAGCAAGCAAAATATTCCACCAAGAAGGAGCCTGGGTGCCCACCAAAAGATGGATGGATGTGGTCTATATATACAATGGAATACTACTCAGCCATTAGAAACACAAATACCCATTTGCTTCGACGTGGATGGAACTGGAGGGTATTATGCTGAGTGAAGTAAGTCAATCGGAGAAGGACAAACATTATATGGTCTCATTCATCTGGGGAATATGAATAATAGTGAAGGGGAATATAAGGGAAGGGAGAAGTAGTGTGTGGGAGATATCAGAAAGGGAGACAGAACATAAAGACTCCTAACTCTGGGAAACGAACTAGGGGTGGTGGAGGGGGAGGAGGGCGGGGGGTGGGGGTGACTGGGTGACGGGCACTGAGGGGGGCACTTGACGGGATGAGCACTGGGTATTACGCTACATGTTGGCAAATGGAACTCCAATAAAAAATATGCATATTGAAAAAATTAGGCTCATAAAAAAAATAGCTGCATCTACTTGAAAACAGAAAATGAAAGGTATCTTCCCGCTCTATTTCTTTGTACTGTAGAAACCAAGGGAAAGGGCCAACACACTACCAGCCCCCCACAAATTATACAGCCGAGTTTCCCCACATTTGAGGAAATCGCAGGGGTCAGCACATCCTGAGGGTAACAGATAGAACTCGCTCTGGGAAAACCACCTCCCTGACTGTATCTCCCCAACCAAGTAAGTAAAACTCGCGTTGCCCCCCGGCCCAACACACCCTCACGCGACCTACACCGTGCACACGCTCACTTTGCTCCCCGCGCCTCTCAGCCTCCCTCGGCTCTCACACCCGCGACACACGCAGCTTCGACCAACACTCCCAGACTCCTTCCCGCAGCACCCGACACCAAACTGTATTTAGGCGGCAGGGGCCCGGGCGGTAACCGCGCGAGGCCATATTTACACAGGACCCGCCCCGTCTGTGACGTCACGGGAGTGGCCCCACCCCGGCCCTTGCCCCGCCCGCCCCATCCGCCCCGCCCACTCCTCCCTCCTCCAGCGGCGTCCCGCGGACCCTGCGGCGGGCGGGTGGCCGTGGGGGGAGTGACGCCCGCCTCTCGCTCCTGCCCTCCTGCCCTCCTGCCCTCCCACCCCCACCCGCTGCGGCGGAGGGCGCGGGGTCTGCACCTGCAGCCTGCGGGGAGCCTGCGTGTCTGGCAGGCTGCCGACGCCCCTGTGCCTTTTTTCAAATGATGCCTTACAAAGTGTGGATTACAAAGGAAACGGGTTCCTTTCATATCCTCTCAATTATTTTTGTGATACAGGATCTCAATCAAAATTTGGAAGTCAGACCCTGTCTGTCTTTTGCCTCATATATTTTGGTTACTTTTTCACGATTTCTACTCTTGGCTCAAACTAGTGCATAAGCACTTAGGCCTAACACTTTTTGGGTCTTTATTTTTCCTTGAAAGCTTCCATGTTCATGTAAAATACTTCTAAGCTTTTCTCCTGTTAGTCTAATTGTCAGGCCCAGCCACAGACCCTAAGAGGGTAGAGGAAGAGTTTAACTCCCCTGCAGCTTCATACCTAGGCTGCTGCTTCTTCTGTTTAAGATTTTATTTATTTATCTGAGAAAGAGAGAGGCAGAGATACAGGCAGAGGGAGAAGCAGGCTCCATGCAAGGAGCCTGATGTGGGACTAGATCCCAGGACTCCAGGATCACGCCCAAGGCGTGAAGGCAGCGCTAAATCGCTGAGCCACCCAGGGATCCTGATACCTAGGCTTCTTGTCTCCGCTTACAAGCAGCCCCCACCGTGCTGTGTGCTCACAGAGCCTCTTTTTTAGAAAAGGGAAGAGGAAGGGTGTTGAAAAAAGTATCTGGCATTTTAACTTTCCCAGAAGCATTAATCCAGGTACAGCAGGTGATGCTGGCCACAGCACAGACATCTCTTTCATCAGCTAAAAAATCCAGAGCTATTTTATTATCAAGAACAACTTTGGGGGTGCCTGGGTGGCTCAGGTGGTTAAGCCTCTGGCTTTGGCTCAGGTCATGAGCCCAGAGTCCTGAGATCAAGCCCTTCATAGGGCTCCCTACTCAGCGGGGAGCCTGCTTCTCCCACTCCCTCTGCTTGGGCTCTCTCACACTCTCTCTGTCAAATAAATGGATAAAAATCTTAAAAAAAAAAAAAAGAACAACTTTGGTTGGAGAGTCTAAGGATCTTTTTTGGGCAGCTACTGCTTTAGCAGCAGATTTTATAATCACTTTAAGAATTAAGAAGTTCCCAATCATAGCCTCATTTACTTTTATCCCTTATCAGCGAAGTAGGGATCTGCCAGCAGGAGCAAATCCTGAATCATGAAAGGTCCTCTCTAACTCACAATGTAAATTGGGATTCCACCAATGAGATGCCTTATCTTGCTGGTGGAAAGCTGGGGGCGGAATTATATTTTTTTCTTCCTAGCCTGAAATAAAAGGTTGTTCTTTCAGAGGTTATGCCCCCGCTTGGCAATGGCCTGGGGGATAAAGATGAAGGTGTTATCTTTCCAGGCCAATGCCAGAGGAAGGGTAATGAAAAGAGAGAGAAACCATGTTTAGTTAAAGTATGAAGTCTTGGGTGGAAGCAGTCTACCTTGACGTCAGCTGTTTTTCTTCATCAGTTTGATTTGGAGATCTCCTGCATCTCCCAGGCACAGGTATCAGGTGGACCCTTTTTTCTGTGTGACGTGTACCCAAGGCTCAAAGCTTTCTAGTTTTACAGCAGTGTTTGTAGTCAGGAGCACTTAGTAAGATTGCTCTGAATGAGGCTCAAGGACTGTCTTCCTCTGATGACACTTCCAGAATATCTAAGTCATCAGGCTATACAGACTGTTACTAACAGAATCCTTCGAATGGGGATTTGGGAAGCACCAAAGAGACTGATTCTCCTGTCCTTTCCCAACCTCCCAGCCACTTGGTCTGCTATTCTCCCACCTGTCACTCACTCTAGTCAATAAACTGTTTTCACTTTCTCTTGGCTTATGTTTGGTTTCTGTCCTGCATGAAGCCAAGGTCGCTGTTGGTTGGTCCTGTGGGACCTTCCCTGAATCCTCGGACCCAGCCTCCCTGTGTCACAAGCATTCTTTAGATTTCCAAACATATATGTTATAATTTCTAGCAGCACTTGCCTTTTTAGATTTTCTAATATGACGCTAACACATTTAAGTATTAGTTTAGTTTAGTTTCTCTGTAATAAGTTTCTCTGTAATAAGAAGCCAAAAGTAGACAAATCTACTACTTAGGAATTAACGTTTTAGTATTTTGTCGTATTTGGAAATGATCTAGATATTTATTGAATTTAACTTCCTGTTTAACCTAACTTAGCAAAACTGTAAGGTTACCAAAAAGATTTGGGAAAACTATTTAAGCTGACACAACATGAATTTATTTGGCTAGTAAACTCCAGTAGAATAAAAGTTTTATATTTAATGCTGGTAACTCTAAAGATGTCTCTTTTAACTAAACCATCAACCTTAAACTAGCTTTTATAATTTAGTATTTTTCCAGATCATATAAACTTGAAAAACTCTTGGGTTAGTTTTTTTTTTTGTTTTGTTTTGTTTTCCTTTATTTTTTAGAGAGGAAGGGATTGAAGGCAGAGAGAGAGGGAGAGAGAGAATCCTAAGCAGGCTCCACTCACAGCATGGAGCCTGATGTGGGGCTGATCTCATGACCCTGAGATTTAGACCTGAGTGGGGGGGGGGGGGCGACAGATCTGAGATGAAATCAAGAGCACCAACCAGGCACCCCAATTTCTAGGTTTTCAAACCAAGTAAATAGAGCTCTTTTATAAATTAAATTTAACAATACTGTGGCTCCTGGGTAACTTAGTCGGTTAAGCATCTGCCTTGGGCTCAGGTCATGATCTCAGGGTTTTAAGACAGAGCCACATGTCAGCTGGCTGCTCAGTGGGAAGTACTCCCTCTGCTGCTCCCCTTGCTTATGTGCGTACTCTCTCTCTGTCAAATAAATAAAATCTTTTAAAAAACTAAATTAATTTCAACAATACCATCCGAAAGTAGAAAAATATTTGACATTTACAATATATATACAGACACACACAGATGGGTGCGAAGACTCTATAGTTACTAATATTTCTAGAGATTTTATGATTTGTATTTGTCCCTGAAATTAATTTTATGGAGACTGTGCTAGACGTTCGGGCATCAGGTCCCTTTGGCAGTTTGTATTTTATGTGGCCTCTCCCTTTTTTTCTCTCCTTTAGTCTCAGGTGATTGTGGGCTGTGTTTACATTTCAAAGACATAAGATGCGTAACTTCAAGGGACAGAGAAAGAGCCTAAGTTTCTCCAAGAAGGACTTTGTTTTTTTAAGGCAAATATTTTACAAGTCTTTTTGAGATAAAGAGGGGAAGTGTGGGGATTGGGAAGGAATACGTGAATTCTGAATTGCTTCTAAAACTAACTTTTGTTTTACAAAAAGATACGTAAGGTAAGAACAGTTGCTATCAGTTTCTCAAAGATTGGGTTTTAAGTTAAATGACACCTTTGGCTGAGCCACCTATCCAACAACATTATCTGCTTTGTTTCTTTCCCTCTGGGTACAGGGTTTTAATTTTAAATATTTCTGGCAGTATTGAATAACCCTACCTGGGTGTAAGCTGGGTCCCTAAAGAGGGTGCAAAGGATATTACCTTTCCAAAATCCAAAGTCACTCTCAAAGGCAGCCAGACACAGAACCAATAACTTGTATGCCCCAGGCAGACAAAAAGCCAGCCCAGTAAGCAAAACAAGATGAACAAGAAGACAATAGCTATCCCAAGGAGAGAAAGGATCACTATAATGGGTTTGGATTTGAAAAGAAAGAGACAATGTGAAATTTTATTTTTCCTCTCTCAGTTGGGCACTACATATAGAGATTCAGAACTGATTCTGGTAAGAATTTTCACCCTTCACTGGCTTCTGCCAGTTTTTCCAGGATCCCCTCTGCAGGCTCTAGTATCTACCAGTTTCCCCAGGTCTGTTTAAAGGAATAATATAGCAGTTTACCAGAAAATCACTCATTTTCATCAACTCTAGGAGGGGCCCATATGGTGCCCCCCTTTGAAGGTAGGTATGGAAGTGCCTATAAGGCCATCGAATTGGAGGACTTTTATTTACAGTTGTGTAGTGTTTTCAGAGTGGAAAAACAATTCAGACAGAGGATTAGTAAAATGAGTACCCAAAGGAGTATAGACGGGAGCAATAATAGTATAGTAGTTACAGCAGTGTTACAGTTTTTTGTTTTAGGTATCTATCTATCTATCTATCTATCTATCTATCTATCTATCTAAAGATTTTTATTTATTTATTTGACAGAGAGAGAGGAGGAGAGAGCAAGTGAGCACAAGCAGGGGGAGCGGCAGAGGGAGAGGGAGAAGCAGGCTCCCTCTGTGGAGCAGGGAGCCCCATGTGGGGCTCAATCCCAGGACCCTGGGATTATGACGTGAGCAGAAGGCCCACGCCCAACCGACTGAGCCACCCAGGTGGCCCTCAGGAACCTCTTATATCCTTAATTTTCCATGAGCCCTTTGCAATGAATCTTTCAATGAACTGGAAGGCTTCTGGAGGCTTTTGCTTGCCAATTAAAACAGGTATCCCATTCTGTTTAATTTGACAACCCTCGGGCAGTCCTGGTGGCTCAGAGGTTTAGCGCCACCGTCAGCCCAGGGTGTGATCCTGGAGACCCGGGATTGAGTCCCATGTCAGGCTCCC